GGGGGGAGGAAGAGGAATATTCCCAAGGAGATGACTGCATATTAGGGGGAAAGGGATGTGGAGCAAAGCACGCTCCCAGAGGTCTGACAGCATGGGTGCCAGGGGCATGCTCCTGGTGACAGCAGCCTGCAGAAACGTACTACACTGAATGGTACATGAAGAAGGCAAGCAACAAGGCTAGCCCTTGATGGGGGAAGAAGGAGAAGACCTGGAGGTCAGCACTCCTGGTGTTGGTTTGAGACTTAAATTTCATTCACCACTACTGCATCATGTTAGTAGGCCAAGGCTAATTTTGAGAGTCCTAGATTAGAAGTTTGCTCCCCAGAAGCTGCCAGGTTAGGAGACATCCTACTCCCAGAGGAGGATTTTGCTCACTTGCGATAACACGTAAAAGAGTCTATCGCATCATTCAGAGATCAGCAGATGAGAGCAGAGGGGTGGGGAAAAGAGCACAGAAGGAGACAGGGTTCCCCACCCATCACTTAGACTCATAGACTCATAGACTTAAAGGTCAGAAGGGACCATTATGGTCATCTAGTCTGACCTCCCGCATGATGCAGGCCACAAAAGCTGACCCACCCACTTTCCCTTAACTCAGCTGTTGAAGTCTCCAGATCGTGATTTAAAGACTTCAAGTCGCAGAGAATCCTCCAGCTTGCGACCCCTGCCCAATGCTGCAGAGGAAGGCGAAAAACCTCCAGGGCCTCTGCCAATCTACCCTGGAGGAAAATTCCTTCCCGACCCCAAATATGGCGATCAGTAGAACCCCGAGCATACAAGCAAGATTCTCTAGCCAGACCCACATTTTACCAGCGATGGCACTTTATTACCTAATTGACTAAAATCACGTTATCCCATTAAACCATTCCCTCCATAAACTTATCTAGCCTAATCTTGAAGCCAGAGAGGTCTTTCGCCCCCACCGTTTCCCTCGGAAGGCTGTTCCAAAATTTCACCCCTCTGACGGTTAGAAACCTTCGTCTAATTTCAAGCCTAAACTTCCCCACGGCCAGTTTATATCCATTCGTTCTCGTGTCCACATTAGTACTGAGCTGAAATAATTCCTCTCCCTCCCTGGTATTTATCCCTTTGATGTATTTAAAGAGAGCAATCATATCCCCCCTCAGCCTTCTTTTGGTTAGGCTAAACAAACCGAGCTCCTCGAGTCTCCTTTCATAGGAAAGGTTTTCCATTCCTCGGATCATCCTAGTGGCCCTTCTCTGTACCTGTTCCAGTTTGAATTCATCCTTTTTAAACATAGGAGACCAGAACTGCACACAGTACTCCAAATGAGGTCTCACCAGTGCCTTGTATAACGGAAGGAGCACCTCCTTGCCCCTACTAGAAATACCTCGCCTAATGCATCCCAAGATCGCATTAGCTTTTTTAACAGCCGCGTCACATTGCCGGCTCATAGTCATCCTGCGATCAACCAGGACTCCGAGGTCCTTCTCCTCCTCCGTCACTTCTAACCTATGCGTCCCTAGCTTATAACTGAAATTCCTGTTAGTCATCCCTAAATGCATCACCTTACACTTCTCACTATTAAATCTCATCCTATTATTATTACTCCAATTTACAAGGTCATCTAAGTCTCCCTGCAGAATATCCCGATCCTTCTCCGAATTAGCAATACCTCCCAACTTTGTGTCATCCGCAAACTTTATGAGCCCACTCCTACATTTGGTTCCGAGGTCAGTAATAAATAGATTAAATAAAATCGGACCCAAAACCGAACCTTGAGGAACCCCACTGGTGACCTCCCTCCAACCTGACAGTTCCTCTTTCAGTACTACCCGCTGCAGTCTCCCCTTTAACCAGTTCTTTATCCACCTCTGGATTTTCATATCGATCCCCATCTGGGGAGGAGAGGAGCTACTACTATGTGTTCTCCCAGAAGGTGTATCAGAGTAGGAGCAGCTCTGGGCCACCGCAGCTGTCTAAGAGCTGACAAGGTCTTCCTCTACTCCCTAGGGAAACCATCTGGAGAAAACACTCAGATCAGGAATTGGAATGGGGTGTTGGAGTGAGACGAGGTGAAGAGGGAAGATGCAGTACTGCAGGAGAACTGGAGGAAGAACTTGGGGATCTCTTGTGTGAGGATCATGAAATAAAGATGGGAATTTTGGGGCAAAAGGAGGGTCAAATGGGAAATTTAATGCTAAGCCATCCAAAAATGTTAAGTCATCTCTGGCTCTGAAACCCAGAGAGCTAAGGAAGCCGAGACAGGGAAAAAAAGACAAGTGAAAGGAGACAACGGTTTGGAAATGAAACCAAGACCACTAGGTGATCCCAGGCGATCTGGATCTCCAAACAACTGAGTCTGAGATTGTCATTCTGTTCATGCAAAACACACTTTTGGCCACTCTGACAGTTGATATGAAGAAGTATCTGATATTTAAAGGCAAAGGGAACCTTATTGAAATAGGATTTCACTCAAACTCTATTGGAAGGCAGAGTGCATCAAGTGAGATTGTACATTTCTGACTACTGCAGTATGGCTCAAACTTTCAAAAGTTCTCTCTGACATTGGGTGCCCAACTTAAGAAATCTTGGACCAGATTTTCAGAGGTGGTAAGTACCTACATTACATATTCATTTCAATTGGAGTTGTGGGTGCTTGGGACCTCTGAAAATCAGGCTCAGGTTAGGAACCCAAAAGAACTGTCTCTTTGAAAATCTTGGCTTATGCCTGCTGGAGCCTCTCTGATCACATTTTCCTGGGGTTCAAACAAACAGATATTAAAGCACCCCAGTCCTTTTCATCATGACTAAATTGACACATGCTGTAAAGATTATAGCTAAAAGGTGTAGTGCAATTAAAATACTATCTTGTGCTAGAGATGCACAATTGCTATTTTAATTGTTTTCGTTCAATCTCTTCTTCTCCAGGTTTCTCTACTATAACTGACCTTCCTGCTTAGGTCATGAGAAGATGTAGCATACAATTTAGAAAGTCATTTTAATGTCATTTGTGTTCACAATTATTATTTGTAAGTGTCAATACAGAATTCTTCAGCAACTTGATTTTTCCTTTCTTCTGAGAGAGTCCTCTCTTAGGGCAACCAATAGTGAAAGTTATTCATGTAATTTTTAAAAGGATATTTTCTCCAGTCTGCCAGATCAGCTAGTCTGACCTCCTATGTAGCACAGGCTAAGAGCATCCCCACACTAAATCCAGGAACAGAAATTAGTCCAAGGTATTACAGCCCTCAGGAAACTAAGCTATTATGTGCCACAGGCAGAGGCTAGGAAGGACCAAAATGGACCAATCCTCAAGGCCCCTGAAATGGGAGGAAACTGATTAAGTGAGATGAACCTAGATGATCCTGACAAGAAACCTGCACCACACCCTGGAGAGGATGGAAAAAAATCCCCCAATCTGACCTGTTGGAATATTCTTTTCTAACTCCACATATGGCAATCAAACTAGTCCCCGAGCACGATATATTTCATTGTACCACCAAACCCCTATGAATACCTAGCAGCGCACCATCTGAAGTAAGAGATGGATTGTACACACTGCAAGTGATCGGTCCTGTGGCTAATCACTGTGCATGTGTTCTTTGTAGAGCTAGACCCCCTTTATGCTACCTTTCTGCCTCCTAGCTAGATCAGTCTCATATCTCCTACTTGTGGGTCACTTCTTTTGTGGGAGATACAATCCTCTGCAAAAGTGGATATTTCATCAAAATATTACATAGTAAATTCAACTGTCCTCTGAAGCGATATTATACCAACATTGGAGAGTAATGCAATCACTTAAGTATGAAACAGAGGGATTTGGGCTATGACTTAAGTGTAAATTTCAGTAGTGGAGTCACTACTGATATCTCTCTATAATCACACTCATACAGGGGGCTGGGACTAATCTTTCACCTCCAAAAGTAGAAACTTCTAGCACTTAAAGACAAAAAGAGACCTTCTTTACCAACATTAGTTAGGTCCCTGATCCTCTGTGTGGCCAGCCCAGGAGGACAGTATCATTCACACAAAGACACTACCCTGCAAAATTCTGCTCTACAAGGTAGAAGTATCTCCTTCTCCACACACAAAAGCCCAAACACTTAAAAAACATACTACCTTTCCCCAGACGCAGTACCTTTATGGAAAAATCTTATTAAATTTACCATTCTATAAAATGTTTAAATCAACCATACATTTCCTGCAACTGAGCTAGAACTCTGTTACACTCTATAGGTTTTTAGAGTGATTTTTATCGAACCCTACTCATTTTTATAGGCTTTCTTGTGTTTTTCCCCATTAATTGCTACACAACCATTCTAAAAGGCAGCTTTAGTGTGTTCTAGTCCTACAGAGAGAGAGAGAGAGAAATCTCCTCAGGTTTTTGTTGTCTGTTCTTCAAGATTTAGGGACCAGATTCTACCTCCTTTGTTCACATTGAGATACTTTACTCTCATGAGACCACATGTAGAGTAAGCACTAATCAACATGAGTAAGAGTTTAATTCCTTTTCTCTGTTACCGATGGGGAAAAAAAAGTATTCAAAAAGATTTCACTATTTACAACCCTTGTTCTGGCACTCTGTCCATCTCTCAAAGCAATGGGACTAAACTTGCATTCCATTAGCCCTTTTCTATGTGCAGAAAAGCTAGCTTTACCACTACTCAGTCTGAGATGGATGTTCCCTCGGGCACACTGAAAATTTCTTGGAGATTTCTCATGCTAGATCCATCAAATCAGTTTCATTCACTTCTGGATATAAATGAATCTTGCTTGCTTTCAACATATACATGTTCTCAATGAAATTATATCATTTGAACCACTAGAGTGCGCTCCTAAAGAAGACAGATGTAGCTGAAGAGGAAATGTTTTCCATCTTTGGGTATTTTAGCTCAGTAGTTTCTTTTTTTTAATATATAAATGTACATTTGCTTTGCCATAGTACAGTTGGAGTTAATTCCGACTTTCAGTAATAATCGAATACAAAACTGATGCCTGTTTTAGTGGGATAATGCAAGATACTTCTGAAATCTTACCTGATAATGCAAAGCTGACTAGTTTCCGAGATTGTTGAGCTGCAGAAGCACCTTCCTCCATGCCTTCCGCCCCCATCTAAAGAGGGAGAAAAAAATGAAGCGTATCATGGCATTTTTCATTTGTTTTTGTATGTTCATGAGGATGATTATGAAGTACTCAGGAGAAGAATATTACCCATAGACAAAGCTACAATCTGAAAACACCAGTTTCTGTCCACCCCAAATTCCCTGGTATTTCACGAATACTGATGACTGTCTGTGCTATGTAGTATCAATATTGCAATACTGAGAATCTTCCGAACATACATAATGCATGGACTATTAGGTGTGTGGAGGGTATTAACTGGAGAAAGTGAAAGCCCTTCTTCCTCATAGGTTTTTGTGTCTTCTCAAAAAAAAATCAATAGCGCAAATTAGCATCTTATACATAAGCATGAGCTAACCACAGACACTGTGCAGTAAGTACTTCCATGTACCATTTATTACCTAAACACAAAATACATGGCTCACTGAGGGCAATCAAAAGAGAAGACTATCAAAATATTTAACATCTATGTGATAAAATAAGGCACATCAGATTTCTAAGTATGGCATTGATCTGAAAGCCATGCTCATACTTGGGAAACTTTCACTGAGGTTTATTTGTACTTTCCCTGATGAGAGCTTTTGTTTGTTTGTTTGTTTTTGTAAGTTTCACTTATTAGAAATAAATCTGCCCCATTTCCTCCTTCAAAATGGAGTTTTTGCAAATGCATCAGTAGGAGGAGCTTGCCTTTTTTCCAAGAGTGACATGTATCCAGCTAAACAATCTATCACAAATCATGGACTATTGGAGTATGTCTACACTGCAGCTGGGCGGGAGCCTCCCCAGGCTAGAGGAGAGTTTATTCAGGACACATGCAAACAACATGCATGTGATGGCACCTTTCAAGATCAAGACAGTCAGTGCTAACTGCTGCTCTGCAAGATGCTGAAGACTCTAAACTCCCACTGGAGATGCTCAGCACCTTGCAGGATTAGGCTCAAGCCACCCAGTTCCCAAGATAGTATCAAACAGCTCAGTGTGTTTAGATGTATGTTCTATGGGATTCTCCCATATTTCCTATTCTGTTGTTCAGGGCCCTTGCTGTACTACAGCAAACTCACTTATCAACCAATTAACAGAAGGTCCTACTTAATAGAAAAATTACATTCACCAAATGACTTCACACTGGATTTAATACAATTGCATCCGCTTACTACCAAGTGACATTAAACAGGCTCCTGTTCAATTTATTTTCTTTTAAATCCCTGGTTTTCTGTTCCAAAAGGCATTTAATGTTGATTATTGTATGCATCTCAAGAGAGTTCTCTGTATTTTGATTAAATACGTAATCTACAAATGAAAACTCATTTTAACTTAGTTCGTTTTGCTTAGTTGTATAGTTGTGTGTGGTTAAAAACTATGTAAATCTGACTAGACTGAAATACAGTTCAGTTGTGTGCAGTGACTAAAAATGGTGTCATGGAGGTTCCACGTTTATCGTGTCTTCCTTTCTGTGTTAGGTGTGCATAGTTCACAAGAAAAAAAATTCTAACTAACCAGATTTTTAATCTCAACTTGGTATCTCAGAGTGAAATTGGGCTGTTTCCATCTCTTGTACAGAGATACTGAAGAACAAATTATTCCCTTAGTCTACACCTGTGCAGTCCTATTGTCTTCAAATAACGTCTTCAGTTGCAACGGTATATTTCCATTAGATTTCAATAGCAGTGCACAATTACAACTGAGAATATAATGTAGCTTTTTGCATGTAATTTTAAATTAAGAGGTTGCAGACTTTAAAAAAGTGATAGTAGTAGTAGGTTGTCATCCTCTATGCAGGCCAGTCTCTACAGGAAGATAAGGCAAACATTTGCCAGTGGGCTGAACAGATGATTTGAAGACAGGAAAATTTAATACTAAGACGAACGAATCCTGGGTTCTACTCCAAGTTCAAAAGGGAACATGCTTTAGTGATTACAGACCCTTCTGCCCTGTCTCCTCCCTCCCCGCTTCTTTCCCTGGTCCCGCTACCTATCCTTGACCAAGCCCTCCCTGACCACTTGTCCCAGTCCCCTCCAAACCCAACTCATTGTCCCAGTCTCAGCCCTCCCATACTCGGCCCCACATCCCAGTCCCACCTTCTATTGAGCATCTGTAAACTGAGATTTTCAAAGGCTCATGACTTGGCCAAATTTCTGTGGATTTCTACAGGGATGGCAAAAAGCCCTCTGCTAAATTTCAAGTCATTGTGCTTCTCAACAAAACAACTGTTTTGCCCATGCTAAATATACATATTTCCTAACCTCATTTTGAGGAACAGTTAAACTGTTTTGGCTCATACTTTCTAAAAAGATTCAGCCTGAAGTAGACACACAGCATGAAAAATCTCAGCCCAACCAGTTAAAGTCTGGCAAAATTATAAGCAATTGAAAATGAAGTCTTATCATTAAAAATATTGGGTAACCTTAACAAGAGCCATAACTTCTATGCAGCCTATAACACAACTGCACGGCATCAGGTAAAATCACAAAAATCCCAGTTAATGGCAAAACTAGGAGATTGATGTTGATATTAAGTGGACTTGAATGACAGGTTAAATGATCTCCTTACAGATAAATTACAAACTAATATAAAGGCTCCACTTACCATCACAGCAGGGTTTTTCACAGTGATACATGGGGTAGTAGCTCGCAGGGCTCCACTAATACCATGGTAGTATTTAAAACAGATCTTTATTTCAGCTGGGAAAACAAACAGACAGACACTCATGTGGAATCCATACATTGTTAATGTGGGACAAAACAGAGGTAGCCCCACGCTTATGGGGAAAATCAACTGAATCGTAGTTCACTCTTCTGGAAATGAGTAACGGGCTGTTTCACCAACATTATTTATTAATCTATCCCATCTCCAGTATAAAGGCATTTCAATGAAAGTTATGATCTATATTTCCTTCCAAATTCTGGAAACCTGAAAATCTTTCTTTCTTAAAGAGGAAAGAGCCAAATCCTGAAATCACTTCAAAGCCAGTAAAAACCTGGTGGCCCATTCACAATAATCACTTGATAAGAAAGATAATAAATTTCAGCATGTGGTTTTGTCCACATGAAAGCACCAGCCAAGACAGATATTGACCTGCTTTTTATACATCTTCTGGAGCCAAATAACAGGGAAACAAGATAATTGAATAATGTATTTAGTATTGGCATTGACTTGTGAAGGGAGAGCTCCATTTTACTCTAAAAAAATAAAGGTGAATTAAAATTACTTAAGATCTTCATCAGACCTAGAACTAGATTTCCTGCAATGCAAGAGACCATATTGTATTGCATGCAAGCTGTTTTATGCTTAAACTATTTTGTCATAGAACTATTAAACCCTGGAAATGATATAGCCCTAGATATAGCTACTTTTCAACATTTGGTCAGTTTAACTGAAGATATTTTGTATCTTGATATTTTATGCAATAATTAAGGAACTGACTATTTGGCTTCTCAAGGGGGAAATATGATACAAATATGCTAAGATTAATACATTAATATTTTTAGATCACAGTAAAAAGCACCAGCATGCATTATACTGAGATGAAAATTTAACCAAGAGGTAAAAGCTGAGGCTCTGCCTAAATTGCATATGAAAACTTTTTTTTAAATGTGGATACTGTTCTGGAATACAGAATGGTTATTAATTCTACAATAACTGTGGTTATCCAAGATGTCAGTGTGGAGCCCACTGTAGGTGTGCATCTGCCTCATGCACACCAGAGTGAAGAATTCTGAATAGCAGTGCATGCTATGGCCACCACGTTCCCTGTGCCTCCTCGTGCTCTTATATGAGGACAGAAAGCAGCCACAGGCCTCCTTCAGTTCCCTTGGAATTCTAAGCCCAAGGTTGCTGAGGACTCTGAAACATGGGGATGGAGGATAGGGTGTGGAATCCACACTGTGTACAACAGGAGTAGGCAACCTTTCAGAAGTGGTGTGCCGAGTCTTCATTTATTCACTTTAATTTAAGGTTTCGCGTGCCAGTAATACATTTTAATGTTTTTTTAGAAGGTGTCTATCTCCAAGTCTATATTATATAACTAAACTATTGTTATATGTAAAGTAAACAAGGTTTTCAAAATGTTTAAGAAGCTTCATTTAAAATTAAATTAAAATGCTGATCTTACGCCGCCAGCCTGCTCAGCCCGCTTCCAGCCTGGGGTTCTGTTCACCTAGGCCGGCAGCGGGCTGAGCGGGGCCTGCTGCCGGAACGCCGGCTGGCAAGGGGCCGGCAGCCGGGACCCCAGACCTGGGGGGGCTGTTCAGGGGTCAGGGCAGAGGTCTGGAGGTCTGGGGGGGGTGCAGGGCAGAGGGCAGTGGGGGGATTCAGGAGGCAGTGCAGAGGGCAGTGGGGGTCTACAACGTCTCGTAAAACCACAGTTACTGCAGGGTAAGTAACTGTTCTTTCTTCAAGTTAAGATACATAGAGATTAAAGTCAGAAGTCATCTAGTCTGACCTCTTGTATATTACATGCCATTGAATTTCACCTACTTATCCCTGTATTGAGCCCAATAAGTTATGCATTATTCAAACACAAGTTGTAATTGACTAAAGCAGGGGTGGCCAACCTGAGCCTGAGAAGGAGCCAGAATTTACCAATGTACATTGCCAAAGAGTCACACTAATATGTCAGCAGCACCCCCCATAAGCTCCCCCCACTCCAACCTGCAGCGCCTCCTGCCCACCAGCAGCCCCACCAATCAGTTCCTCCCGCTCCCTCCCCACGCCTCCCGCCCACCGTGATCAGCTGTTACGCAGTGTGCAGGAGGCTCTAGTAGGGAGGGGGGGAAGAGCGAGGGCATGGCAGGCTCGGGGGAAGGGTTGAAGTGGGCGCAGAGCCTGGGGCAGAGCAGGGGGTTGAGCACTGAGCATTCCCTGGCACATTGGAAAGTTAGCATCTATTGCTCCGGCCCTGGAGTCAGTGCCTACGGAAGGAGCCACATATTAACCTATGAAGAGCTGCATGCGGCTCCAGAGCCACAGGTTGGCCACCCCTGGACTAAAGCATCTCTCTTCCAGAAAGGAACCCCGTCTTGATTTGAAGACACCAAGAGATTGAGAATCCACCCACTTCCCTTGGTAGTTTGTTCCGGGGATTAATCACCCTCACTGTTAAAAATGTATGCCTGATTTCCAATTCGAATTTGCCTGGTTTCAACTTCCAGCCACTGGCTCTTATTATGCACTTCTCTGCTCGATTAAAGTGCCCATTTACTACTTGTTATTTTCCCCCCATGAAAGTATTTGTACACCATAATCAAGTCACCTTCAATTTTTGTTGAAAAGCTAAAGACGTATTGTACTTCAGCTATAACAATGTGGAGGCCCTTCAGCACTGTACGTACAGATCCTCTTATGAATTGGGGGGTGGGGGGAACTCTTTCACAGCACTATTTACTGACAAATCTCTTACATTTTCAGCAATACATAAGGGTTTCTATAATCTCTATTGATTTTTCCCCAATTCGAAAAACAGGAATGAAAACACATAAAAGATTATTTCCATAGAATGCTGGGAATTTATTTTACTTGTCTCTTTGCAACAGATGAGATCGTTCTAAACAGAAGTCCACAACTTAACAATTTAAAAAACATTTATAAAATAAATGTTTGTACTTTAATCATAAGACATATTACTATACATTTTTTCAAGAGTTTGAGCTTTGATATCCCAGGTATTCACAAAATTTCACTTGAAGACATTCTCCCATTCAGGCCCAAGCACCAAAAATATAAACTCATCATGGAAATACTTCTTTTTAGAACACAAGGCTCAAGTCACTAGTTTGATGCCATCAGGATTTAGCTAAATAAGGTCCCGTCTGTGGTCCTAACTCTCCAAAGCTATGGCAGCCATGATAGACCAGTCAGCTATGGCTTCACACTACTATGCCATTCCTCCTGGCCTCTTATAAAGTAGTTGGGTTCTGAGATCCTATGAGACAATATCAAATGTGTCTCAACCACTACCAGTGGGTCCTGGAGATTCAACGCCATTCGTTAGGAAGGGAACACTGGTCAGTGTGTCCCCAAACATAAATGCACAGCACTTACTATAAGATAGATATTATCACCAGCTGGAAAGTTGAGAGAACTCATGTTGAAATTAAACTGATCAGAGAAAGAAAAGTTTCTAACTATGGGGCCAGCCTTAGATCTAATCCTGTCAAGAACAAAGACATTTTTGATGCTCCTTGTTTTCTCCTCCACCCTCTTCCCCTATATTTCTCTCCTCTGTTTCCCTCGACTGTCTTCTCCTACCATTTCTTTCTCTCTGGCCCCTACACCATTATGTTATTCACTTTAAACACCTATCACAATAGATTTCACATGCAAATCACTTGATTATTCCACAATCCTTACTGAATGCCCACTCATGGTTTACAAGGGTTCATGTTACTGTTCTGAGTGAAGGCGAAGTATATTTACCCAGGGAGCTTACATCCATGGATCTGTGCCTCCTTTATCATATACATAAAATGGGGCTTGTAAAGTGTTGAGATCCTTGGATAGACTAAGTGCAAAATATTATTATACACAATCATCTACACTGCATATTAAGCTCCAGTTCAGCAAAGCACTTATGTACATGTTTGATTTTCAGCACAAGTAGTCCTATTGTCTGTTTTGTCTTAGTGAGATTATGGAGATTTGCCATCTGTTGTGAAAATGAGACAAAAGATTATAAAAGTTTAGGTTGATTCTGACACTTTCAAAAATAGTGGTTAAAGGGAACAGATTTAAAAACAAAAAAAAAATGTAACAAGAAAATTTCTAGGGAATCCCAAACCATCTTCAGCAGAATACTGAATGCTGTTAGAAACAGTTTATAAATAGTTTGGGGACAACAATCATGCAGAAATGAGATAAACAGACCCCAGATGGAACAATTAAAGGACACGGATTACATAATAGCAGAACAGCATCCCAGGACTCTGGAGGTGCCATGTCATTCTCTTCATTAATCAAAGCTAATTCAAAATTCTGCTGCTTAATTATTTACAATATACTCTAAACTTCCTAATTCTGAGGTGACCCTGATGGGATTGAGAAATATTAAAATATTTATCTTGTATTTCCTCTGGTCTTAATTCTGCCACCCTTACTCATGTTGAGTTGTACAATACTCCACGAATAGTCCCCCTCTCATTAATTTCTTGCAAAGTAAGGTATGCAAACAAGAGTCAGGTCCTGAGAATTTAGGGGGTTAAACGAGCAAAAAAATTAGGAATATTAACATTAAAATGGATACAAGCGATGAATATTTGATAGTCAACTTGCAATAAATATTCTTGGTCAAAACAACTTCTCATTGATGTAACTTTGAAAACACTGAACTTTGTGTTCTTATAGCTCTTAACAATGCCTTTCCCACATCCCTGCCAACTAGCCATAGCATTAATCCTCAAGGATTTATGGAATGCTGAGTTCATCTTTTAAAACAAATTTTTTTTTTTAAATTATCTGAGTGGAAGGAATGGTCACACAAAAATTTTTCAAATTCTACCGCTCACTAAGTGAAAATAAGCCAAAAAATGTTTTAAAATCAAACTCAAAGGGAGACGATTGGAAAATGAGCTTTACTGACCCCAAGTATAGCAAGTTTCAATCTCAAAGAACTATTTTTGCCAAAGTTATAATTAGTTGAAAATAGAGCTTGCATATAGACACCTTATATATCAACTCTGACTGTAAC